TCTAAGCCAACAACATAATCTCCTGTTACAGATCCCATCTGAAGTCATGGTAATTTACCATATTCTCAATGGGGTTTTGATCTTGTTGAAATGCTATTTTTACAATGCTCTCCCATCTGAGAGAGGAGCCTCCTCTCCTCTTCCCTGTGCTACATTCATGTGCAAATTTGCCAGCAGTAATGATTAGACCTGTTGATGGCCCTCCCCCCCACAACCCCCCGCCCTTTCCATTTGCAAATATGAAGCTGCCTTTTGCATAATCCAAGGTTGCAAAAGCCTACATAGCCTGCCACGCTTTCACATTTTACTTTATCTGCTCGTACCTTAGATCACCTTGTTTCTTAGGCATGAGAAATGGGCTATTGTGCTGGCTTGAGGATCGGAGGTCACGTATACCCCTGTAGTGGACAACAGTCCCGTACCCGGTGCTAACTGGGGGCTGGAACAAACCGGAGTGAGACATAGTGACTGCAAGGCTGTCTCTCATTTATGGGAGGAAAATCAGCTCCCTTCCCCCCAGCTGGGAGACTTGGGAGCCCAGTGCAACATCCACTGGCTTCAACTAGTGGATTTGCTTTGATGCTCAGGGGGCACGTCTACACGAGATGCTTAGTGCGCAGTAGCACCCCGGGCCAAACCTGTGCCAATATGCTACCGCCCAGTGTCATTAGGCTACTGCGCAGTAAGTGTCACTAAAAAAACCCTGCGCCGGCGCTGCTGAGCAGTAGCACGAGTGATTGCGCGTTGCATTAGTACTTGGTCAACCAAGCATTAGACTTGATGCGCAGTAACTAGGGCACGTTCGTTACCATGTGGATGCGCCCAGGGCACTGCGTACAGCCTCGCTCGGAAAACACTGGCAGGGGCAAACTGAGTCCCTGCTGCCAAGCAGTGCATGTGGTACCTGCAGGTACCACGAGGGACTGAGTGCCCAGAGCGCAGGGCAGGGCCTCTCCCCCCTCCGGCCCTGGCATGGCGCGGCCCAGGCTGCGGGGCTGCTAGGGGAGGACGGTCCCATTCCGCACCGCGCGAGGGGGAGTCCGGGGGGGGCGGGACAGCTCCACCCTCCCGCCCTTCCGGCCGGCTTGGCCAGCGCGTCTGTGTACGGTAGCCATGGAGACGCTACGTCGGCAGCGTAGTGCGCGCGCCGTTGAGAATCGCCGCCTGCGCCCGTGCGGAGACTGCCCCGGCTGCGCGGGGGCGGGGGGAGGCCGTGCTCCGCAGGGTAGGTGAGGGGGGGCGGTGTGTGTACACTATATATATATATGTGTGTGTGTGTGTGTGTGTACTATATATATATATGTGTGTGTGCGTGTGTGTGGACGTATATATGCGTGTGTGTGTACATATATGTGTGTGTCTGTATATATAAATATGTGCGTGCGTGCATATACATGTGAGTGTTCCTATATATAAATACATGTCTATGCATATATAAATGTGTATATATTTGTGTGTGTGTGTGTGTGTGTGTGTGTAGATAGATAGATATGTGTGCACACACATATCTATACATACATACATGTGTGTGCGCGTGTGTAGTAAGATTTCCTACCAGCACTAGAGTAAAACTGACTCGGTTCTTGGCAGTGTCACCGCTGTCCACAGGGTCCTGAACAAGAACAGCAAAATTGGCCAGTTTTATAAATTTCTCCTTGGCACTCCTTCAAATAAAAAACCCGTAGAGGGGTCTGTCTCTATATGCCAAAAGAGAAAAGCTTCCTAACTGAGATTTCAAAGGCCTTTGATATAGGTCAGTCTCATCCCCACTTTACAGCTGAGGTGTTGGAGGCACAGGCAGGATATTCATTTCCTGAAGGATACACCGACCGGGGCAAAGCCAGAAACAAAATCTAAATGTACGGATAAGTACCGTATTCGTTGTACCGCCCTGGTTTTTATCAGGTCACATTTGTTAAGTGATCGTTACAACCGTAAGAGCTCGGAGCTTTTTAAAAGAATAAATCCTTAAATTCTGAGCAAACTGATGAGTGAGTTTCTGCAGCATATGGTGGAAAGATTTTCATTCATCACTAGTGAGTGGGCAAATGGACATATCAAGCAGTGCACTGTGTTAAAATGGAGATAAAACTACTGGTTTGGAAGTCTGTACAGACGAAATGATTGATGAGTCTTCTCTCCACAGCTTGTGCATAACCTCCCAGTATAGGTCTGCTGTTATATAAAGTATAATCGATAAAAGAGGACAGTTATAGGTACCATTAGCATGTTAATAAAATGCTTGGTGAGAGTTTAACTTTACCCCTGGGAAAATATAAAAATATATGTGTATGTTTAATGATGGACATTAAAATGAACCTAGTGTTATATAAAAACATTTTTTTGGTAAAATTAGACTTCCCTCTTTTGTTGCTTTATTATAATGTTATCCTAGATCATGTGTTCAAAGTATTTTGTAAATGCAGAGTTAAGTTGCTGGCTGGTTTTCTTTGTTCTTTTTTTTTTTTTTAAATATATATAATATTTTATCATATATAATGTAACTGAAACTCTTATTTGGTAACCACACTCATATGAAGTATTAGCTGACCACACACGAGTCAAGACTTTAAACACTTTCACACATGCTTAAACATGACTATGAGCAGTCCTATTTAAAATCACTGAAATAATTCAGGATCATAAAAGGATTGTAATTTAGGCTCAGGGCCTTAGTATACTGGATTGTAATTCAGAATCAGGGCCTTAGTATCATTGGTTTCTCACTATGTAAGGTACTGCTCAGTTCAAGTGGTAGAACTGGTCACTTCAGTATTTAGGAATAAAATCATTGCTTCAAAACATGCAAACTAGGTTACTGACCATTTAAGTCACTGATTCCCAGGCAGGGTGCCAAGGCACCCCAGGTGCCACAAGATCTTTTGAAGGGTGCCTCCCAAGTGCAAGGAGATACAAGTACAGATGCAGGCTTATCCCTGCTGGCCGCTTCCCCACCCCGCTGCCCAGCCTCTATGCGAGGAGATAAGCTATATAATAAATCAATTCGTTTTTTAAATGGGGTGCTACTCAAGTCACAGAAGTTATGGATGGGTGCCATAGGTCTATATAGTTTGAGAACCACTGATTTAAGCAATAAACGGCTCTTCTAGATATTTAACTTAACTGTCATTTTCTTTTTCAGTGGCCAAGTTGTTTACATTTAGTCTCCTAGTTCCACACTTCACATGTGACGCCTATTTTCCCATTATTTCCTTTCTAGATATTTGCAGCATGAACAGTAGCAGCTTAGCTCAAAGCACATTCCTCCAGCCACACTTCTGTCATACTGGTTTCAAAGGGCCATCTTTAATTGGGGGAAACTGCCAACCAAGTCTAAACGACTCTCAGGAGTCCGATTGTGAATGCCTGACGCAGGAGATCGAATATCAGTGTGAACTTCAAAAGCGGATTTCCGACAATGAAGAACTATTACGCCTGTCTTCTGATGAGATAGAGAATGACAGCTTAGAAGAAGATAGCTTGGAAGACACAAGTGTGAATAATCCAGAATCAGCAAACCATGGCAAAGTACTTTCAAGTGGGAAAGAATATGGAAAGCAAAAGAGCAGTAATAACAAAAGGTAAAGGAATGTGTTTTTAGTATACAGACAGAATAAACCTGACATCTTAGTGCTTAGGCCTCCTTAAATCAGAGAGCAGTACATTGGACAACTTTCGACCTGCCTACGGTGCCTTTATATAGCAGAATGGGGTAAAGGAGTTCAAGGACTAATCTGCATACAAAAAAAAAAAAAAAAAAAGAGAGTAATGCATGAGCCTTATATAGTTAAAGCAGTCTAAACCCTCCCAGCTTATGCACCCATAAAACTACATTGACCCAAAGGGTTGTACCAGTTTACCTACTAATATTTGAGTAGGGAAAAAAAAAATAATAATTGCACCCTAAAAGAAATACCGAGCTAGCTATTAGCGTGACTAAGAATGCAGGAGGAGGTGTTTTGAAAGGTAGCACACTATATAAACTTACTCCTTTAGAAAAGGTGGGAGAGCAGCCATCCTTTATTCACCAAAGATATGATTTTGGGTTGGATTTCAAAGCCACAAGTAAAAGGGGAAGGGGAAGGATTTCTCTTACACTCATGTAGGAACTACTGAAACATTGAGTCCAGCTGTGCTAAAATAAATGGGTGCCATTTGCCCACTCAGTTGCTTCTGGAGCACCTGGGCAGGGCGATGAGCAGTCTTCCCTGTGCTCTCCCCCAGCAACAGCACAACCAGGGTTGACACAGAGAACATAGTCACTTTCTGTTGGTACAGGCCCCGGAAAAAAGAGAGACCCTTCCTTTCTGTGAGCTTCATCCACAGACCTCCTCAGTCAATGGAAAGCATCTCACTGACAATTAAAAGCTTTGCCACAGCCCCTAAAGCCCATAGCGTAATGCACTATGCACTTTTTTCCAAGCCTGCTAGTTGGTGACAACTTTCTGTAGGCTCTTGATAAGCTATGTGAAAAGAAGCCACATCCTAGGAAATAATGCTGCTCTGTACCCGAAAAAGCTTCCAGTAAATAAAAGAAAAAAAGATAGTGAAACCCTGTTGGGTTGATGAGATGCAGTTCTATTCAGTAACTATATAAACGCAAAAATTAAAAATTCTAGGCCGACTGTTTGTCACCCTCACACGCTCTTAAAATGGCATTAACTTTCTACATAAAATAAAATTGAATTTGCTGTCATATGCATAAAAGGCTTAATGCTGTATAAATTGGTGAATAATTCTTGTGTTTAAAAGGATTAAATTAAAGCTCAAGCAATAATAATGTGCAGTTTCAATTTAACTGTCTACTTAGAATAAAATGGCAAACAAATGAAGGCTAAATGATTAATAGCATGCTTTTATTCACCTCCTCAACAGGCAAAATGGCCAGTTATGGAACATTTTGTTGTGAGTGCAAAGGATGTTAATTGTACTAGAAACATGCTCTAATTTTAGTAATTTTTTGACTGAATACTATGCTGAATATGAGGCTCTTCATTAAATGGAAATTTGATTTTATTTTGTTTGAACTTATCACAGTAAGTACTCAAATATAGTCCATTAACTGGAGCAAATATCATAGCATATGCATATGAAACCCCTCTCGCTACATCCATTACTAACCCAGGAATTTGAAGAGGAAACACTGCATCTGTTGTCTATCCACTACACTTTTGTTGATGAGTGCAGAGTCCATCTAACCTTTATATCGAACTGGGGAGAGGAATAAGAGGTGCACTTTTTGTCTGCAGATGATTAGAGATGAAGGAGGCTCTTCATACTCATTTTGTTCCAGTGTGGTGACCTGGACTACATAATACAATCGAGCTGCTATGCACACATTTCAACACAATAGAGCTCTTGAGAATTATATTCTGTTATCTGAATCATTACAATCATTTCCAACAAAATATTTTTGAAACAACATATGCACAGAAATATGTAATATGGTCATCTAGGTATTCTTATATATGATTTATGGTTTTTTATTACTAATAACAACATTTTAAGCCCCACTATTGCTACTTCACTGGTATAAATTGTAAGGAATTTTAACCATAATCTCAAGTACTCAAGATACCAAGTCACTAACACTTATCTGAAATGAAAGCACCAATATAGAACCAGACTGCATTTATTATAACTTATTATTTAGGTCACACTATATATTAAAGAAGCTTTTGTAGTGGCTTGAGACAGTGTTAATGAATACTTAATGTATAGGTAGTAGTGTTACTGGTTTTTATAGCGCCCAACAGGTCAAGAGAACGCTTATAACCACAGCATGAAAGCCAGTAGAAGTTGGGTGCTTCTCTAAACGCTCCTCTGAAAAGGCCACCCTTTGTGGCCAGCTGCCCCTAACACATGATTCATATTTGAGAGTCACCTATAACAGAAAAACTGCTGAGCAGCAATTTGGATTCCTCTCTCCTTTTTTTTTTTTTTTTTAAAAAAAATCATCTTCTGGTCAGGGTGTTCTTAACCTGGGCACGCAACTTAGTCTCATCTCCACTAGCCAGGATCCTACCTAGAAAGTCTGTCTTCCAGTTCCTCCAGAATAGGTACTTTGCTGTTGTGTGGTGATGAACAGAGTACTTTCAGATCTGTAGGTTGTTCCCTCTTGGGTGCCCAGTACTCTTGAGGTTGGAGGGACAGCTATACCGGACAGCAAGACCTCTGAGAGCAAATAGATTTTCCTGTGGAAGATAAATGGCAAATATAATGATTTGCCTTTTATGAATTAAGTCCTGTTGACTTAAATTGCAAAAAACAATTAGTTTCACTTTCATGACAGCTTTTTTGGGTGCTTTTCTACAAGTACCGCAGTTCATTTATGCTGGGATAAGATTTTATTGTCGGATCAGTTTGTGCTACACTTAATTAGTATTTGGTGCTAATTAACATTTAAATATGAAGAGAGAGGACTTCCCAGATTCTAAACTCAAAAAATTTGAAGCAGCTGCTTGGTCTCTGATCCAGCAAAATGTCACAAGTAATTATGTACATGCAGGGTGCATCTACACATGAGCTTAACTGCATAGTAGACTAATGTGCTGTCCAACTGTCTTCCAGAGCCCGGGGGCTGCTTTGCCCCAGCTAAAACTGCTGCGGTCCCAAGTGCAGCATCTGCACATGTGCCCTGGACCGCAGCAGTTTGAGCATCTACACATGCCATTAAGGTGCTGTGATAAGCTCTGGCGCAAACTGTACCTGTGTTTATCGTGTTGCCTTAATGGCACATGTAGGTGTACCCACAGAGCTCCGTGGGACTGCACACATGTGGAAAGTACTGCAGAAATGTGTGCATAGGCTGGAGCTCCACACTGAATTCCCCAGAATTTATTCAAAACTAATTAAATGCTCGTTTTCAAATGTTAATATTTCTTTTTTGGTTTTATAGCAAACAGCAATCTGTAGACAGATATTGTGACCTAAGATACAATCCTAACTGGAAGATGATAAAAGAGGGAGGAGAATTGTCTGAAGTGCAAAGAACAAGCCAAACTGCAGAGAAAACTCCACAGTGCTCCTCTGATGATTTTTCTTACCTCCTTTCCAAAGGCATCCTAGACAGAATCTTGAAAGAAAATAATCAGCTGGTAGAAGAACCACAAAATATATCACCTGAATTTAATGCAGAATTATTAAGTCCTGATGATCAAATTGTTAGTATCAGCAGAGAGCCTTTTAGATTACATACAGAAGGAAAAAAAACAGTAGATTGTCAGCAAAAAACCAGTTCCAGTACATACAGTGATGTTTCCTCTCTTCAATCTGGACAAGTTAAGCAACAGAGTGCAAAAAAAGACTTTGTGGAAAAAAATAAACTTACTTTGGGACTGGCAGGAAACATGCACAATTCATATCTTCAACTACATAGTAAAAAGCAAGGAGAAATTCTCCATGAGCAGGTAGGCAAATGCACTTGATTCATAATATCTTCTAATGTGGTGTGACCTGATAGTCCTCTAATCATTTGAGTCTCTACCAAATCGCATGGTTTTACAGGGGGATAAATAGATTTCCAGTCATTCACAACATAAGGGATCATTCGTTTTCTTGCAAGTATCTTCTTTGCCATTTATAGAAAAGTGGTGTGTGCTACTTGTATCCCCATGTGTAGACTTGTCATAGTCTCCAGTTGTACCATATGCATTCTCCAGGGATGACCATGTCCCCTGTACAGAAGTGAGGCCTTATCTGATAGCAGTCAACTAAATGCTAGGCAGCCATGGTAGGTCACAGGTCTAACGTGGAAGTAGAAAGCAGAATGGTTTTCCTCCAAGCACATCCATGTGGCCCAGGACAGGATTTGAATCTTAGAGGGATCCCATGGAGGACTAGGATTTATCCCCCCGGATCTTATGGGCAACTTTCTTGTGAAAATGCCAATCAATTTAATTAGATACATCAGCCAAGACACTGAGAAGGTTGCCAGATCCAAAGTCCTATATCTTGGGATCAAGCTACCAATGGCACGGGCCATTAAGTGCAAATGTTGTGCTGTCATTCTTGGAAAGCAAGTTCCAGAAACCAGTAAATGCACTAGAGGATGTCAACTGCTGTAACAAATGTAAGTGGGCAATTTGTCTCTTGTTGAATGGTTTCAGAACTGTGTGCAAGATTTCAGCTTTTTGCAGGAAGGTACCTAGATAGAGTATTTTCCCCACCTCCTTCCTCATATATATTTTTTAAACTCCTAATTTTTCTTGATAGTGATATTTTCCATCCAGCGCAATTAATTGTTCATCACATCTTGTTAAATGATTCGTTTTTATATTGTGCTGGAATTTAACTAGCTTTGCTTACATCAATCTGTTAACAATGAGCCTTAATAATAAATGTTGCACATTGTCATCATTGGTAACAAACATTAATATTGCATCATGCAAGTACAAATGCTTCTGACAGCAGAGCATCTATAACAGATTTTTTTAGAAGAAAAATAAAATATGATGCTGGTATTTAGAATAAAGTTTGGTATGAGCAACTTCCAAATTGCTTTCATCAAAAAAAATATTAATTATAAAGATACGCAGTTTAAAATCTAGAAAAAATTATATAGTGAAGGTACAGTCTGGGTGGATGTACCCACACATTTGTTCATCAGTGACATTTAGTACCGGCTTTCCAAAAAAAAAAAAAATAAGGGGGGGGGAGAGTTAGTTTACATTTTGTGTTTCTAAAAATATGACACATCAAGCTTGATTTTTCAAGGGTGCTGAGTATTTACTATTCTATTTCAAGTCAATGGAAGCTCTGGTATGTAGTACCTTGAAATGAAGGGCCTAGTTTCAAAGTTCTCTCAAAAAGTAGACAAAATAAGGTTTTGTTTGAAAACATTGGTTCATTATACCATATGATATTCATTATACTATACTAAATGTTGATTCACTATACTATAATGGGAAGGTGGAAATCATGTAATTATACGTTTAAGTTATAGAACAGGTAGATAACTCTATTTTCCAAAACACCTAGAAGAACAAATGCTTTTACGAGATATTCATTAGCCTTATAAAAATCTATCTAATGCAAACACTAGAGGGCACCTGCTGTATGTATTAAGATCAGTGGATTAGTGGACAAGATCTTGCTTGTCGAAGTGTTAAGAGTATTCGTTTTTTTCATCCATGATTCAGTTGATTGTAAAAATCATTGCTATAAAATGAAGTTAATTAAAGCTTGTGTTGATATGACTGTATTTGCTTTTGAGGGAATTCTGAAACTTTGCATATAGTAACTTTTGTGAGCCTTGTGTTAGTGCCTGCGTCTCAGCCTTGTAAAGGATATGTAATATAACTGTGGTCTCTGTGCCCCAATCTAACAAGAACGTGCACTAGTAAGGCCCTGGGCTCCCAGCAAACCTGGGAATGGAAGGTTACCCCTCGTCCAGACCAGTATCCCGCTCACAGACAGCCACTTCATATCTTCCGTTTATTAAGCTGACCAACCTGCACCTTTAAAAAAAAAGTTTGTTTTTTGCCTCTGTCACCACTCCTATTGAGCAGCAGTTCCACAGCTTCATTCCTCTAATGGTAAGAAACCTTCTTCCACTTACAAGCCCAAATTTATCCATGGCCAGCCTTGCACCACTATTGCCCTTTATCCTGTAGTTCTTTTTTCTTCCTGAGGTTTAGCCCCCTGAAGCATTTATAAAGAGCAATCGTGTCTCCTCTCATCTTTCGTTTTGCTAAGCTCAACAAGCCAAGCTTTCAGTCTCCTCTTGTAAGATAAGCTCTCCATTCTCCTAATCATCCTCATAGCCCTTCTCTGCACCTGTTCCAGTTTGAACTGATCTTCCTTGAAGGTAGCTAAGCAGAATTGTACACAGAATTTCAGATGCAGCCTTACTCTGCATTTATTTATCTTACACGAAAGGAGTATTGGCGTCCAAAGCCACTGAACATGGATCAAGAAGCTCTGTATCAAAGCAGCCTAAAAGCAAAGACAATTCCATAGACTAGACAGTAGCAAACAATCATCAAGTTTGACATGGTGCCCCCCTAAACCTTAAAGGTGCATCTGAGCTTGATGTGAATCAGCCATTTAAGAATGAAAGAGCTGGGGAAACCATTTGCTGCACATAAGAAAAATAATCTGACCTGTGGTTTATGAAGTTGAATTGAACCATCAATACACATTAGCCAAGTGTTTTGTCAACTGAAGCAGCTAACTTGGAACATCAAAAAACAATGAGGATACAAAAAAATGCTGCATCACACATCTTCTCTAGAGGCCCAGACGCATACCTTAGACGTTGTGCCTCTATAAACCGGTTGATTTCCTGCCCTTCATCAAGGAAGCACCATGAACTTCATTACATTAGCCACACAGCTGGCACTGAAGTAGAGTGTGCATAAAATAGTATTGTATTATGAAGAAAAGCACTTTTCAAATAACTTCACTAAACCATCTTTGTATGGGATAAGGTAGTGAATGTGTGTTATTGAAGAGTCCTAATTTCACATTGTTGCAGGATTTGCAGCTTATTAAGTCTGTAAACACAGGCAATGAGCTACATGTACCCAAACATCTTGCAAAGGTGCACTTATGGGTTGATGTGTGTGCTCACTAATTCATATAGCATTTTATAAAGCATCAACTTTTTTGCAGTGCTGCCTGATTCTCTAAAAACCTGATTGATGAGTTTCTTTGAGAAAAAGAAGTAGCTGCCCAATCTAGCTCAGCTGTACTCAGTACGAGTTGCTTTCCTACCTACAAACCCCTTACTTCAAAGCAAGGAACATAATGTACAATTTTTTAATGGCTCTAGACCAAGGCACTCAGACTCTCTGTGCACTGCGCCTTACCTCGGTGTAAACACCTAATCAAGATTGCCTGCGCTTCAACAATAGCAGCCAAATGCAATTCGAGAACCACAAGCCTTTGAAGTCCTCACTGCAAAGGCCGGTTTTCTAGTCTGGGATAATGACATGCCATGATTGCTGTCTTTGTTGTATCTTTTCAGTAGAGAAGCAATTATGGGCCTCAATTTAACAGAATAGACATTACACAGCTTATGATGCTCAAAATGCAATTTCATTTGATCATTTTCTCAATTTGATTGGTATTAATAGAATAGTTCACAAAAAATGCTGGCAGAGGTTGTGTCCTGTTCCTCTTTCAAAGAGATAATGTAGAAGTATGCTTTACCTGCCCGGTAAATTATTGATACTGTGAGCCAGTGGGTTCCACCAAAAACGTCTCACCAGTGAAAGAGCTGTGTGCCTGTATCTGCTCTTCTGAAGCAAGCCAGGGCAGTGGCTTCTTAATATATTAACTTCATTGCTGACAGATCTTTCATTACCATTTGGGGGAACATGACTCACCTGAGATATCCCATCTGCCCTTTTAGGCCTTGGCTTACAAATGTATTAGACATTCATCTCCTGTATGGGATCTCACCTCCCCCCCATTTAACTGAGTTGGTTTCCCTAGTTAGTAATTCACCTGATAACAAAAACTTTCTCCCACTGACTTCTGCCAAATTAGCCATACCCACTCATCAGTGGTGCCCAGTTAGCTCTATCACAGGCAAATGGCTTAGCACTGCAGCTAGGCAGGTCATCATCGCCACAACTGTGTTACTGGCTGAGTAGCCAAATATTTGGCAATGGTCATTTTCTTATGGATCATGGAATGCAACATGCAGAAGTAAATGGAGTAAGAGACATATGGCTATATCATCTCAAAATGTTTCTTCCTTTGTTTTAATGTGATTTATGTTGTGCTTTGGCTTTCTCTGTGGCTTCCGTCCACCCCAGTCTATGCATTTCCTGCATCATACTGCAGGGGCAGTTTGCAAGCACCAAGTGTCCTGCTAGTCCGGCTCCCTCATGCCCCTTTGCATCCTACCTGTTTGTTTTGCTCGTACAACAGACAGCAGATAGAGCTGGCCAGAAAATGTTCATCAAAACAGCCTTCCACTGGGAAATCAAATGTTGAGGAAATCTAAATTTTCCATGAAATTGTTCTTCCAAAGCAGAACCGACACATTTGAAAAATGGCCAAGTATCACTTCAGTCATCCCTGAATAGCTGCTCAGCTGCAAATTTTCATACGCCTACTCTACCCATTGGCTATGTTCTGTGCTTTTTGGTCCAAAGACAATGATTTGGCTTCTAAGTGGTTTGTTAGCTGCCACTGGCCATGTCTCATTACTGCCAGGCTGTATACATTAGGCATTTTTATGTCTGTGCTGTGGCTGCTTCCAAGTCTCTCTCACCAACACTGCTCTGGTTTGCAATGCTTTCTCGCCCATATGACTTTATTGGCGTTCAAGGCATTGCTATGGCATTTAACATCCTATGAATGTCTCAGTACAGTGGCTCATTACTTGTGATTTGCAGTCATTTAGCTGCCTGCTGTTAGAGGCATCTACTGACTATATCTTATATATACTGGACAGTATCTTGGTGCTCTTCTAGCTTCAGCCAGGAACAGGAGTCTGTCCTGCATGCTTTCTGCAACTTCCATTCCCTGCTGTCTTTGAATGCGTAGGGAACGCTATCCACATCTGCACTATGGTTATCCAACTAGCTTGCTTGTGCACTCCTTTCACTTGTGTCCAGTCGTGCATGTTATAATGCTAAACTTCACCAAACAAAACATTGCTTTTTTTCTCTCCCCAACTTGTAGGGTTCCACCTGTATGTGCTATCCTTAGCTCTAATGAGAGGGCCTTGGTTTACAGAGCCCTGAATGTGTGTTTTTTTTCTTCTTCAGGTTTCTGAAACTAAAGTTATTGAGGAAAGACCTGGTCAGAACATCCTATAATTTCAAAGCATGGATGTAGATTCTGGGTGGGACATGCATGTGCTTTCTGGAATCTGGGTAGCAATAAAGTTATTAGCTTCTCTGTCTCTAAACTTTTAACTCATATTTTTTCCTCCTTAATAGGACTTGCTGCTTTTTTTTTTGCTTTTTTTTTTACATTTTTCATTTGATAATCCAAAAGCACTTTACAAGAACTACTAATCATCCATACCTAACCCAGAGTGAATTAAGTAATACATCAGGTACAGGTCAAGCCTTTGCAAAATAAGTGAGAATTATTAACCTTTTTTTTCAGATGGACAAACTGAGGTACAGAGATGTTGATTAATTAGCCCAAGGCCACACTACTTGCTAGGAATCCTGGCTGTCAGTGCCAGGGTTTAGTTTTGTTAACTAAAACACCCTTTAAACATAAAAGTAGTTATATAGTATTAGAGAGCTAAAATATAAGAACCATATCCAAGGAAATTAGGAGTAGAGTGGGCTACAGAGAATCTAAATATTTTGTTCTACAACTCATGCACCAAAATCCATTGCATTTCCCCATGTATGAGATTATACAATTTACTCCAAAAAAACATAAGGCTACCCACTGATGCTCCAGCTAGGTTGGTAGCCAGAAGATGTAGTTATGAAAATAGATAGTCTGTGAAACTCAGCGCATGAGGTGGATTTAATCCATGCTTTATTGCCAAGTCTCTAGGAGTCCTGGGCTTAAAGGGTCAAATCTCCTTAGGCTAATACTCAGCTGATAATGCCACTGACCCATTAAACTAAAACTTCTAGCACTAGCTGGTTTTGATGGGCTACCAAGGCATGCAAACTAAAATTGTAATATTGTTTCATTTCTTGTTCTTTGGGGAGTGTAAGGGGTATTTTAAAACCAAAAATCTGGGAGGAGGAGGGAGTTGCACCTTAGTATCTGTCAGTCTATGTAGTTTCTTAAAAATGATCAGCATATAAAACCTACCAGGTAATTGCATTATAAACTGATATAATGGAAAGCTTCCCAGTGTATTAGAACAGGAGGTAACATTTCATTATTCGGGAAGATATCAGCACTTGAAAGGTACATGAGTGAGCAGAATCCAACCAAAACAAATCGGAAAACCATTTACTGTAACGTCAGTCACTGTTTTAGCTCACTATTTTTACTGTAGTGGGGAAGGAGATGTGAATGATGTAGCAGGCTAAAGACTCATTTGTTCCTTTGTTCTTTCAATATAGAAAAAGTGTGGCTGTAGTGTGTAAGGTTGTAAAGGGAGCAGAGTTAGTAACACATATGACTGGACACAGATAGGAAATGAATCGTGTTCAGAACAGAAGCAGAAAGAGTCTCAAACTGAAATAGCTATGAAAAAGAGCACCTGCTTCTCTTTATCACCAGAAAAATATTCTACTAAAGAAGGAAAATACATAGTAAAAGAGAAACAAAAGTTTGTTCCAAGGGTGAAAGGGGAAAGCATTGGTAGAGACCACTTTCTTGTGGCAGTAAGAGGGAAACCAGGGATTGCCAAATCACCATTCATTCCTGGGTCTGTGCCTGGACCATCCCTGACACATGGTGCCATTAATTTAACAAGTGGCCTTTATTGTTACAGCCTAGAACATAAAAACAACTGCAGCGTAAGGTGAGCATTAACGTTCATTGATAACCCCGGCTAACAATGCTTAGTCATTTGCACAGCTGATTTCTGGAGCAATCATGTCATTTCCCAATTCAACATACAAGTAGAAAATGACTCCAGGATTAGGTTTGATAATAACCACTCTCCTTGGGAATTTATGAGAAATCCGACAATAACTTTCTCAGCAACCTAGAGGCCTTTCTGGGCACCAATTTTACCATGAAACCCGATTATATTTCTGATTTGTCTCAGACAGATCAGTACCTGCACCGGCTCTGTTCAGCCAGCTCTGAAAACAGTTTGAGAAGCAGCATTATCTGAAAGCTAAAATGTAATCCCATTGGCCAGGATAATACCACTGAAATCCACGGAGTTTTACTGCCCTAAAACACACAGAGATTTTCTATTGTTTTTACAGGCTTTGCGAGTGTTTAAGATAATTTTGCATGGTTTGCCTCCATCTGACCAGGCAAGATTAAAGCTGTGCAATAATATCTTGCCTGATATAGGATATTGTGCAGACTAAGGGACTTAGATACCCAATTCTCATTAAAATCAATGACAATTTACCATTTAAATCACTTATGCTTCTTTCAGAAAATCTCAGACCTGTTTTCATTTTAATAAAAGTATGCTGAGTTTACTTAAGCAGACTGAATTCCCTACTGTTCATTGAAGGTTAGAAGCTGCACTCCGTAGGAGAGGAAATCAACCTTTATGCAGTTTTTCTTGGGAAAGAAGTGATCTATAGATCTAAAATTTCTTAGTGAAGGAAGAATTTAACACTGTTACTTGAGCCATCTAAATGGGAAAGCAATGGCCTGGTCACAGTTGGCACTGGTTCCTGCTGAGACTATGGGACTTTTCCATAGGTGGTCTGGTATGTGCGAACATTAATTATTACAGAGTAGGTCCAGCTAACAAATTATTATCTTGGCACCAGGAGTCAAGATTCCCCAGTGCTAAAGCTTTTGCCAAAACATTCTGCTTTATATGTGGATTTAATACCTACCATTAAGCAGTTACTGTGAGTGCATATGCTATGTAGTGATTGCAAATGTTGCTAACAAAAGAACCCTAGAGAGAACGGAGGATGAAATGGAGGATTTCAGTGCTGGCAAAGATTAAATGGACTGAGAATGCTTTGTATATTACCTTTAAGGGAGCTCATATCTTGCTACAAAAGGAGTTACACCTGATGCCTTAATTGGAAGGTGAGAAAACTTAAGTAAACTGCAGATTTCAAGTGTGCTGCTTTGGGTGAAGAGAGAAATCCCATTGAGCTTAAATTCCTAAATTGTTTCTTACTGCTGAGATGACATGTTGCAGGTCTCAGAAGCCCATGAATACTTGATTTAACACTTGAAACAATTTAAACTGTTTATATTGACTTCTGACTTGGACACATCTAATAAGACCACACCTTCTAAGGAGCTCTTTTGTCATCTAGGCTGTGAATACCCCTCTGGATATTTGCAGTTAAAAATTGGGTTGCAGAACCTGAATTTAATACTATATTTTTGATGATGTAGACAATTAATGACTAGGGCTGTTGTACTCGTTGCATCTCCCACTGTCCACTTGCACATCCAGATTGGTAGGATTTTGCACAGGCAAAGAGGCATGTCCTTCCAAATATAGGGAGCACGGTTTGTTTGTTCTTTTTACAGTAAATGGCAATATGCTTTCTCTATCTAGATAGCCAGCTGCCTGCAGGTCAGCAGATTCTTTACCATTGTACAGATGTATGCACACACACTCATACATCTATACAACTCAGTGCTGATATTTGTATTCCCTTCATACTCATTTTTTACTAGAGGCCTCTGAGCTAT